ACACCTGTCTCTCAAACCGAGACAGCATGGTTCCCCTACCACTGTGCCCACTCCCCCCAGCTCCCCATGTCCCCAGGAGGCAGAGCCACTCAGGTGCCCTAGCCCAGAGTGGCGCGCGGCAAGCAGCCTCCTCTGGGGCAATGGAGCTGTTGCTGCACCCCTAGCTCTGGCTGCTCAGCACTGACACAGCCCCCAGGATGCTCTGCCAGGAGCCAGAGGCTGCCCTAGACTGCTCTGCCCCATCAGTGACCCTGGTACGGGTACCTGTTCTGCTGTCCCAGGGAGCCCACAGCACACCCTGGGCTGTGCCCCCTCCTGCCAGGCCACTGCCTGCACAGAGCACCAGAAACCCCTGTCCCTACCTGAAGCAGAAGCAGCACATGGCAGCTCCCAATGGGATACAGAAAACCTGCCACATGGAGACATCCTCATGGGGGGACACCATCCTGTCCATCCCTGCTGAGCCCACAGGGCAGTGCCCAGCTCCCTCCCACCTCACCAAGGCCCCATTGCTGCATTGTACCCACCTCACCCTTCACCTGTGCTTTACAATACTTTTGTGATAAGATCCTGCCTTGGATCTTCTGTGTGAGGAAGGTGCAGGCACAGCTGGGGCTGTCCCTGGCAAGGGGCTATGGGCAGGAACTGGGGCTGCCAGGGCAGAGATCAGGCAGGAAAAGCCACCTCCGCTCCCAACTGTCTGTGGTCGCTCCTGCAAGACATAGCTGTGGTGGTGGTGATGCTGCTGTGCCCTGGCGCTGAGAACGAGGTCAGACACGGGGTGGTGGCAGGGCTGTTGCCCTAGCAATGCTGGGGAGACGGCAGGGGGAAACATATCCTGTGTGTGCCAAGAAAAGAACTGGACACTGAGCCACCCCAGTGGCAGGTGAAGATTTAATGGGGTGGCAGAGAGCGGGGTGGGGTGGGCAGCCCCAGCTGGTGCAGGGTGCGCAGGAAGTAGGGTGGTGGTGGGGCACAGAGGGGGCCCTCGGGCAGCACCAGCTCCTGCAGGTGGATGTGGAGCGGGAGGCGACGGAGCTGTCGCGGTGAAAGCCCCAGCCGGGACATCAACTCCTCGTCCAGCACCTACAATGTAGGTGGGCAGCTCAGTAGGATCCCTGGGGGCTGTGCTGAAGCCCCTATCCAGCATCCACCTTGGCCACATACCTGTGTGTGGGTCGGGGCAGCCTCAGGGGTCAGAAGGAAGGGCACCTCCAGCACCTTGCCCACGCGAGATGAGTGCTTGTGGTCACCCAGGGCTGGACACAGTAGCAGCGTCAGATGCACCTGGAGCTGCTCTGGGAAGGCTGGGGAGGCACAAGGGGAAGGTGAGATTGCATTGGTAGGGAAGCATGGCTGAGGGATGGGGGTATCGAGGGGCTACTCACCTGTCCTGGGCTGGAGCTGGAGGAGGGCACAGCCCCCCTTGGCACCCAGCACCCGGTAGCGTGTCAGGGTGTTCTTCACCTCCTTCCTGGCCAGGCTGTGACGTCCCGGGGCTAGCACTGGCACCACCTGCAGAGCACAGCCCTCAGCACTCCCCGGGACACCCTCTGCCCTCCCCTTACCATGGCAGTGTCACCCTGCTGCTGCCAGCACAGCCCAGTGCGGATCTCGCCCTCTGCCTCTGCTGGGACTCCCACGGTGACTGCGCTGCAGGGAGAGGTGGTGAGGAGGGGACAGGACCCCCATGCCAGCACAGCAGGGTCTCAGGGACTCACTGGTATGTGGCAGGGTACTGGCCTCTCTGGCGGGCACTGGTGAAGAACTGCTGGAGCTGCTTGGTGGTGTGGTAGCAGCCAGACAGGAGAACAAGACCAGAACACTCCCTGTGGGACACGGCAGCTCTGAGCCCTGGGGCTAAGGAGAGCATCTCCTCTCTGCCCCAGGACCCCCAACCATACCTGGTGGGAGCCTTCACCACATGGAGCTCATCAGAGAAGTCCAAGCGTCGTCTCAGCTCTGGCAGCAGTGTATCCAGGCTTAGCTCCCCGGGGCTCCCTGCAGAGAGGTTGGGGTTCAGCACCCACTGAGCCCCCCAAAGCAGGTACCCCCACTCACATTAGACCCCCCTTCCTGTGCCATACTCACCCAGGACGGGCAGGCCTGGGGGCTTGCTCAGCACCAGCAGAGCTCCTGGTGAAGGGAAGCTTGGTCAGGATGTGGCTCCCCCACTGTTCCCCTTGCCTCCATCCCCTCTGCCCCCC